ATGCATTCGGGTTTGGGTCAAATTTACCTTGACGTTTTTCCTTTCACCACGAATATGCTACAATTGGGAACCCAGGGAAAGAATATTCTTGATGAAATACAATGATATACATATGATGTGGATACGCGAGAGTGAAAATGAGAGTGAGAGTGAACGAGAGTGAGTCCCCGAAAGGCATTGTTCCTAAGAGTGCAGACTCCCCCCCAAAAAAGTGTGACCCCCAATCAAATTCAAGCTTTGTTGTGAAAGACTAGTTGTAAGAATATTTTAAAAGATTAAGGAGCTGTAGCTGAAACATCGCAAACCACATTTGAGTGGCATTGTATTGTTACTGGTAATCCCGATTCCTTACTAATCGTTTTGAGATTAATGGGCAGACGGCGAGGGATAACTTTGCAAGCTTTTATTCAANTCTCAAGTATTTTGTACTTTGCAATGTATTCTTTCCTCACATACTCTATTTACACCATACATAGTTTGACCAACAGGAGTTTGCAAATTTCGATAGACAATGAGTGAACTGAATAAAACGAACTCTCGGGCACAAAGCAATTTCTGAAATTTCCTTTTCGAACAAAATCATAAATAAAAGACGGATATTATCAAAGGCAATTGGAATTGGACAAAACAAAACTGAGAACTGATTGGATTATGATCAATTGTGATGCTCTGATTGGTCTGGTTTCTACAGACGTTCCACCGGCTGAGTTGCGCGCAAACCGATTGCGTTGACACGTGTTCGGATACCGTGTTATGTGCGTTTTTTGTTGACGGCCCACGTTAGAAATGAAGAGTGTATCTTTAAAGATAGCTAACCAAAACACACTTCAAAGCAAATACAAAACGGAGAACAAGTTGGCTTATTCGGTCATTCGTATTTCTATTTAATCATACAATTGTTTCGGTCTTTTTGCGAGAAAGTACTCGGGTAAAATGAATCATGCATTCCCGATGGTTGAATACTGTAACTCGCTCTAGCTGGAATATAATAACAGAATCTAACGGCTCTCTAACACTTCAAAAATCAATTAACGCAGCCTATAAATGATGTAAGGAGAACGAAACTGAATTTAATGTTTCTAAATGTAAAGTCCTATGCCTACGTCACAAGAGAAGATTCTCATATTTCCTAGGAAATCAGCAGCTAGCACATACTTCAAGTGAAGAAGACTTAGGTACTGTTGTTCAAGAGAATTGAAGCTGCTCGCTCAACTGCACTAATGCTACCTCCGCTGCTGTGAAAAACGCTGGCTTACTTAGATGAGTCTTTGGTAGGTTTGAATCAGCACTGTTCCCACGTTTGCTATCAGCGTACATTCGACCGTACACAGAGTATGCCATCCAAGCTAGGGGTCCATGGTTGCAACGTGATCGCAAGATGCTTGAGCGCCCACAAAGGATGGCCACCGAGACGGTCAAGGAATTGCATTGCCTCACCTATGAGGAGAGATTACAATCATTTTGCTTATATTCTGCTCAGTACCGCCGAACTCGAGGAGACTTGATTTTGACGTATCACATACTGCAGAACCCAAAACATCCGGTCGATCGCTGCTCATGTTATCGAAAATGTACATCCAAGGGGACACCGTTTCAAACTACTGATTACCAAGTGTCCACTGGATTGCAGGTGCCAGTCTTTTGCAGTTAGAGTATGCAGATATTGGAACACTCTTCCATCTCATATCGTTTGTGCACCAACTATTGAATCTTTCAAGCGGAAACTCGATGAAACCTTGGTAAACCTCATATTCCTGCACCACTAAAAGAGCACTTTAATGAATTGGAGCCTACATTCTCTATACTCTCCTACCTGGAACTGTGTGATTTTTTTCGCCGTGAAACGATTCAATTGTGTAACTATCCCATGAAGACAATAGTAGCATGAGCTTGTAAGTAATTCCCCTAATAAAATTTTGGCTTGACTTTGAGTTCTGTTGTTCCCATCCACCTAAAGAAGTTTCAACTGTAAGCGAAGTGCAAGTTGATCACACTCGCTCAAGTCCACAAGCTACTCACATGATCCAGTGACTTTCGTTGACCCAATATGAGTGCCGTATCCTTCACTTCAATTTATTTCTACAGCATGCGAGCGATACAGTTCAGTCTCTCAGTGTGGATTGATCCTCATCCCGCTTGAACCTGTTTCATCTTTGGCTCAAACGGTTTTGGGGTCTGAACTTGTTAAAACGTGTTAATCGTGAATAACTGGCCACGGCTGTACTGCATATCCATGTTAGGAATCATTAGTGGGACACATTTGAATAATCAACTGGGGTTTGATCCTGGTCACTGGGACTGACAGTATGGCGCGTTAACAAATCGAGCAATCCGAGCTGATTATCAGCCGTCTGCTAAAGGTCAACATTACTTAATTTAGCACTCATTTGTCACTATCGTTGGGAAAAGCGGATCTGACCGGCGCAGTGTCTGAGCTGTTGACAAAATGTTGAAAATTGGTTCTCATAGCTCGGGTGAACTGAATTCCATTTCGCCTGTTAGCCGAGCTTGGCAATTTGTTTTCAAACGTTTCATCACCAGCTGAGGTGACATCATCAGTGCACTGATGATGGTGAATTTTGATTGCTCTAGCTTCTGCCGTTGCCAATTAAGGTTTCCGAACGTACTTAGACTTGTTTTGGGACATTTTGAAAATGACTTTAAATGCATCGTTGTCTCGCTGGTGCCTGGTATTGGCCATGATCTGCCATGGTCTGCCATGAGAACAATTATCCGCTCAACTGAATACACCAATACATTACTGCAATTTTCTTTCCCGTTCTGATTAAAAGACTAACACACTAAATTTTCGTTCTTAACTATATCATTGAATATTCCCCTGAAGATGGTTGTTTGAGAGGTTACGAGAAGGTTTGTTAGAAAAAGTTGAAACTCAGTGTTTGAGTGGACTTACTGTGGTCCACATTGAATAGATTGTATCACCGGCGAGACGGGTGATTAAGAACCGATTGATGCCGAAACCTATTCGATAAAGAAACTAACCTGTAAAATATCCAGTATCAGTTTTAAAACCGGACTTTGTTAATCACCAGTAGTTCCGATTAATTATTATGTTTCGTTTTATCTAACTAAACGCTTGGTCATCTCCCAATTTGAAACCATTTTCTCTGCCGTAAAGTATGACTCCGGTTGAAAGTATATACCAAGTATATTCCAATGAGACAGAATGTCCAACAACTTTACCGTAATATTTGTCCTTTACACCCAAAATGTGTAGTGGATTTGCTTCTTTTGGGGTTGGGAATAATCGTACTCATAAGATTAGGCACCGGAGCGGGTAAAGTGCATAAAAAATGGAGTTCTTTGAAAAATGTGATCACGTTATATTGAAACCACGTGACTAGAAAAATACATGCTCATCAAGGTCAAGTCAAGTCCAGTTCGTGCTTCATAACACTGAAAGAATCACACTCACCGATCACAAAATCAATATGGCATCGCAGTATCCCACAAACGGTTTGACACTTTCAGATTTCATGTATTTCGAAATTCTGACCATGTACAGTATGCAAGAAGTATGATACGCCCTCCAGGCAGTATGTATAGCGGATTGACCGAACGAAGCTGAACCGCAGTTGCATCCATTGACGTGGAGGGTTGAGTGTCCGTTAGAACTAACTCTACAGTCTACAGTTGCGTCCGGTGTCCAAAGGCTTATAAAATGTGAAATGGAAGAAAATTGGCGTACAAAACAAAGCTCAAGAAGCAACAGGGTTCAAGAAACACGACGTGTAGTTCAAATTCTATTGGAAGTAAACCTGAGGAGCTTGCGAGTGACGCGTATAACCAGTGTAGAAAAGAAGGCTATGTAAATGCAAGGCGCCTCGTTTCGTTTGGTTATACAAGATGTGCTTTTACGCGCTATATGAACAAAGATAATCTGTCAACTTTCCTGAAAATATGCATGACATATGTTTGAATCCTAGTCCAAGGTTACTTAATGGTAACTTTCAGCAAAAGAGGTCGATCGAGTTGTCTGTCATTAATTAACCAAGCGTAATAGAGAACACCAATTATGGATAGATGAAGGGAGAGAAAATTGTTCTACGATACCGTGCAAAAGGTTGTGATCTACGAACTATTCAGATAGTGAGAATTCCGAACAAATTCCTGTGTAGTCCATGTGCTTTGAATTTCATTCGCTTTGGATCAACAACAGTAGAGCATGATCCGAAACCAGCCAGGCGAGACCCGCTCGTCCGACATCTATGAAACTGAATACACATGACAAATGAGCAAAGACAATGGTGTAGAAAGCGTGCGTCTGTGTGTGGGGTTGAGGTGTCGGTGTGTGCGTGGACACGTGTGCGAGAGTGCGTGAATCAAACTGCAAGAGTTAAACGAGAAAGTTGATGACAGTAATAATAATAATAATAATAATAATAATAATAATAGTCGAGAACCAGTAAAAATTTGGATTTTTTTCATGCTTGGACATTGTCCAATGCATCCGTGGTCACACACAACTCTACAACAGGATGAAACATGTGTATCTTGGGTGGTTTGATTTCTCAAAGCAGTTTTAATGGATGAGTAAACTGTGACAAATCACAATTGTTGATGCGATTGACACAGTGAGGGATACACAATCACAAAAGTGGATATGACCTTGCCACATGTCATACGTGAAAAAAATTTCAGATTATTCATAATTTGCTCTTGATGAAGAGCTTAGATTTGTAATTCCGAATCGCGTGTCATCATTCACTTTGCAGATAAGTGGCATTTTTATTGGTAGTACGCAGATGCAACATCTGTGAATGAATTAGGGAACAACTGTACTTTTCTTATTCGTATCTATCTGTTCAGAGTTGCCCCTGAGAGATTCCTGCAAATTTCGGAAAATCTATGAGGGTCACTGGAGCCTGATAGTGCAAAACCCGGCTAATTCCGGTAGCACTGGTACATGGACCAGTAGACGACCAAGACAGCACGTAGACCAGTTCATTGTTCACGAGGGAAAATTAACTTTAGACCCAATGCGAGTGGACGGAAATATCACTTTGGATTGTGTGCATGAAATTCCGGAAGCGTGGCACGATTCGTACATTGTCCGTATGAATCACCAGGACAACGGATGGTAAGTTGATAATATGCTCTGATCGAAATTTATTCGACGCTTATCTACCATGCTCCAAAATAAGGCAAGAAATCTTCGGAAAGGGTTTAACATTGCATCAACTTTCGGATGTCGACAGATGTTTAGTCCATGAAACCAGTAAATATGTAGTCAAAACGATTTTCTACAAATCTGCTTGCATATAAAGATGTACTCAAGTTGGTTCTCAAACTGATATTCAGCACATGTATTAGGCACTTTTCTCCTGTGTGTTTGTATGTGAGAATATTTGCATCTATAACTGTGCACAAAGTGTACGTAAATAAACAGCAGGTAGTGGCCATCTTATTTTGAAAGCAATAGAACCAGAAGTATCAAATAAGTTGTCATGCACTGGGTGATCAAACACAGAGAAACACAATACTTCTTCATATACGTTAATTCAAATCCACGGGCCTGATAAACTGTCAATTTCTATTGACCAAACTATCTTAAGGTGGAAAACGTTTTAATTATTGTTGTTTCATGTGTTAAATTGTCATTATTTAGGGAAGCTGAGGGGATAAGAAAAAGAAGCGGTGGTTTGCACCCTACGGTACACACCAATTAACAAATTTATCGATTCTAAAACAAGTCGCGATGTAAGCAGGTGAAATTTACAGATCATAGTCTAAACTACAAACCATACTAATGAAAAATCATTTCGGATATTCCATAAACTGTTTATGCATGTGTTATATGTCGCAGGCAAACTAACACAATCTTGCCCCCACTGACTAGAAAATTCCCGGGTGAAATGATTCGAGCTAAAAAGACATGAGGTTGCATGCGTCTTACGGTCATGAGATAAAAACCATGATCTGACTTCTACCGGCAAATTGATCATGTTTTCCCAGAGCTTTTAATATCTGGTGCTGGCATTTGTTTGAAATACCGCAAATGATTTGAATGTAAAATAAAGAACTGATCACGTTAATCATCTTTCTGTATCAATTAAGTTATTTTGTTCTGGCCTCCCACTTGTGCACCAATGTACAACCGGAATTTTCTCATGACCGGCAAAATACAATGTGGGAATGTTCGGAAATCCGACATTGCGTCCGTGTGTTCACGGACCGCTTCAACCCACATTTCACCTGTGTGACTCTTGTTCCCGATTCGAGGATCTCGAATAAACGGATCACATATTTTTTATATAATAAATCACTGTGTATTAGCTGTATTTCACACTTCCTTGTGAAAGACACCAAAAGTATCCCCTTGTAAAGCGTTACGGAATACCGAGAACAGTCTCCGTTATGTCCTGCATCAAGTTCAGATAATAGGGAAACCGGTAAACAATATTGATGCAAGACAAACGGCGTTAGGGAAGGAGGGGACCATATTCGATAATTTTTTTACCAGCACACAAATCGACTGATGCACGGGATTTTCTGGAAGATCAAGTAGGACTAGTTGCTGCATGACCGCATGTGGGAAAGCGATGGTGAAACGAGAATGTTTGGCAATCCAAAAGTGTATAAAGTTCGTCTGTGTGTATGCCACAAGAAGAGAGGAAACCTGCTGGATGTATCAACAGCCGAGCAACGCAATGCAAAGCAAAATGAATTTAACTTTACTACATTAGCAATTTCATTTGTAAATCTGAAGTCAATTGGCAGAGCATGATCATTTGAACACTGAACAATCTGCGTACCGGCTGAGTAGAAGTCGATTGATTTGGTTTGAACTTTATTGATCCACAGATCCACTTTTCACATGTCTCACATTTTGCAGTATGAAGTTGGCAGACGGTGAGAAGGCGTAGTTAGTCTAGGCAAATACCCCAGATCTGGGTACTTGCATATTTTTGTCAAATTTGTAAAGGGAAGATTTGCAACCGGGAATTGGGACCTCTGGGATTTTCCGCATGTTTCCAAAAACTCCTATCCGAGGAGTTCATTGACACCAAAAGCGTTATTTTCCCATTTGTGTAACGGATCACCGAAGAAGTGAGCCTTGTAAATTTGTTTTTCTCGATCAACGAAATTGTCCGACTCATTTTCGGAATCTCCAAGGATGAACCGGATTTTGTGACTCATATTGCGCTGTTTGATGCATTGTCGCGGAAGCCAAGTGTAAATTAGCCTCGATTAAATTGGTTATACCCTGTACTGTGGCATTTGACTCAGTAACTACCAAGTAGTTGTTCCTTTACCTCATCACAACAATCACGATAGAATCACGCTAGTTCGTGCGATGTGATCTATACCATTCGAAGCTGTAGGTATGCTATCAAACTGAACAGCAAATCATGCAACGGGTTCTTTTCTTGACATGGGAGTACCATAGTAATCGTGTGTGCGGACCTTGTATGGTAACGCTGCATAACCTAGTTAATCTGTATTGATTAGGACCTTCATGTTTGAATTTTTTCCGCATTTTGGGGCTTTTCGGGTTTGTCATCGGCTGTTCTTCGTGAAGCATTTGCGACGAAACGAAAATCAAAAATCTATGAAAAGAATACGCTCTCATTCAGCGAGATGGGAAATTCGTCAGCCAGGCATTACAGTTCTCATCAAAACATTTCATTGGAAACGTCGTGCATTGACCCTTCTGAACTGTGCTGATTAGGCCACACCGGTTGCAATGAATTTGTCGGATAAAGAAGCTTACTGATAACTACTTTCGGACGATATCTAAGGACCAGACAGGCATTAAAAGCGGTTTGTGATGTCACGCTGTACCCCAGTATCCTTTCATTGGGAACTATAGAACCAGATGCATGCGCAATGCAATCGGAGACCGTGCAAAATACGGTAACACAATACCATCATATCAAGTGCTCAATCAAGCATCACCAAAACAGTTATAGAGAAGGACTGAGTTATTTTTATACCCTATTTTAGTCATGACAATTTATCAATTATCGAGCCTGTGCGTCCTTTAGGACAGAATGTGAATTTCTCTCCTCTTGGGCAAAATTTGCGATTGTGCGTTTGTNGTTTGTTGATAAAACAATATTCTCGAAAATTGTGGTGAGAATGTGGACCTTAATTCCAACAAATACCGTCTTTGGTTTGCTAGAGAGAAGGAAGCTAGTTAAAAGATTAAACCGATGATTCCAGCAAGCATTTGTCAAAACAAATTGAGAACTAACCGATCGATTGGAGTCTGACCAGCTGCTTTCATATAGAAACTTTCATCGGGAAATTTCTCATCCTGAATTATCATCAATCGGAAAGCACTAATTATTTCCAATAACCATTTTCGTGTTTTTTTTTCAAGTCATGCCAGAGATCTGTGCTTGGAATTCGATCAAGGCCGCAAAGATTATCTTCTGAGGACTGATGTCAGTCGGTCCATGCTCTATCGT